AAAAGTGATTACCTCGCTCCCAATGGACAATCAGGCACTTTATCAAACAAACTTTTCTTCACCTTTGGGCGAATACGAGGGATATGCTCACATGCCCAAACCTAAACAAATAGACATTAATTTTGTTATGTCGAAGTAAGAAAAATAAAATATTAAATTTTCAAATAATAATTAAATAAATTTACCTGGATCAATTGAATGCAGTTCTTGATCCACTTCTCTTCGGCCATGAACGAGATCGTCAACGCTCTGTATACTCTGGCCAAGACGTTGAACCCCAGTTGTACCCCTTAATACCATCGAAGTCCTCTAGCAGCTGGAGCCAGTAAAGTGCGATGTCATCCGCCCGCTGGTCGGGGTAGATGAAGGACCCAATGCACCACAAGATAAGGGCCCTCGCCCTCTGCTCGTACACAATGTCCGGTAATCCTTCTTGCAACTCCGTCTTGCAAGATCTCTCCAAAACCCCGATATGCAACCACTGGCCTTTAATCTCCCACGTGCTAGGGTCCTGTGCTGCTTGCTCTGCCTCGGTGGCGGGAGGATCCTGAGAGTGGTTTTTCCATATTAAAAATGATAAAATTGAGTTGACATATATTTAAAAAGAAAATTAAGGAAAAATATACCTGAACGTAAGGCTGAACCCCTAGCAAATCCTTGCACCTCTCTCGCCACTGTAGGGATGATAGCTCTAGAGTCACTCCCAAAACAGCAGCTCCATTGATTGGCAGACCGAACAGGACTTGTACGTCCTGGAGCGTGATGGTGGCCTCGCCGAAATCGAAATGGAACGTATTCGTCTCTGGGCGCCACTTCTCCACGAGAGCAGTGATGAGGGCATTGTCAGCTTGGACTCGACCCATTCGAAACATGGGGTCGAAACCAGTCCGGTCGATGGCCCTCCAAGCCGAGAGTGTCTGCATTGGCACTGCCTTCCAGAACTGAGTGTCGAAACGACGGTTTGTGAGCGTCGTGTCACGAACTCCCGACACATTATCAAATACCGCCTGTGCCCGATGTTTGTACTGGAGATATAGAAGACTCTCATCCCTCGGACCAGGATGCACACTGTACTGCTGAGGCTGTGAAGAGGACGATGAAGCCATTTATCTACAAACAATACAAAAAAGAATAGATTATGATTCAATTTATTTATTATCAAACAAAAAAAAAGAGCCATTTATCTACAAACGTTACCATTTATCACACAATAGTTCACAATTTTACAGTTTCAACAACATTAGAGTTTCAAACTTAAACCCCTTCCCTAAAATTAAAACAACAATTTAACATATTAAAAAATTCACAAATCCACCTTCAACACCTCTTCACCCCATCACAATCATCAGAAATTTACAAATATGTAACAACAAAGCAAATAACACAAGCAAATAAGCTCAAAACTAAAGAACCCCTTTGAGGCATTTTATCAAACACCTTCAAATCATATATTCCCAAACAAACTACAAAACCTAATCACATTCCAAATAACCTATCAAGTTAACATACAAACATATTCAACAATTCCATCAACATATCTCATTTCCATTAAATAAGATATTCAATATTCAAAAAATACCCTAATTTGAAAATGATTAAGAATTGTTAAAAATTGAAGTCCTAATTGAACAAATGTACTTTATTGACGGTAAGGAGACGACAGCAATACGCGGTGCGGCGGCAGTAAGACGGCGGTGCTCTTTTTTTTCCGACCGAAATCAACTCTCTTGCTCTCTCTTCTCTCGCTCTTTTCTTTTTTTTTTCGTTGATGCTGTCTGTTCGCGTAAGGAAAGGAGAAGAAGAAGAAGTTTTTTTATTTTTTTTATAATATTTAACTAGAAAACGTATTCAAGGAATACGGTTTTCTAAATATTTATTTGTAAACCGTATTTACGAAATACAGTTTCTAAAAATAAAAAAATAAATGATACGAGGATCCCAGATTGGAGACTCGAACCTGGGTCTGTGGGCGAGTCCGGTTTCTCTGGACGCACCTCGTACCATTGTGCCGCCAGGCACCTTGCGTTTATTT